TCTTGTCGGCTAGCTTTATTGCTTTAACACGCTTGGACACTAATTCCGTACCTGACTTCAAAGAAGCCTTAGCTTTTTCATAAGATTTGTGCTTCAGTGCGTCGGAAGCTTCGTCTAGCTTGTCCAGCACCTGGAGGGAATGGTCTAACTGCTGCTGGTTACCCTTTCTCTTGCACGTGTATTGCTCGCGACGCGCCTTCTTAACAGCTTGCTCAACGGACGAACTGTTTTCATCTGAAAAACGCTTGGCAAGATCGGTAAGTCGAGATTCAATGACCTGTGTAAGGTTGTCGGTTAAAGAACCTATAGAACGAGTAACGGCAGCCTGTATAGCAGCGCCAATTGAAGGATCTACGACTTCAGGGTTCGGACGAGAACGAACATTGCTGTCCTCCGCGTCACTCATGTTAAACAGAACAGTGTTGTAGCGTGTGGCGTTGCCGACCCGAAGGAAGAACATAGAGACTGACAACAACTTATATATGAAACGCAATTAACACGTATTACGTAACTACTGAACACTTCATTGAAAAACACAACGAAAATACCAAATTCAGAACGTGCAGAAAACAAATATCTGCTAAGCTTCGTACCGCAGATATTTTGATAGTCTAAAGCACATGGTCTGGTTCGGTTGTTAGTTTCGTATTCTCTAACACTGGCAAAAGAGGCTGAATGTTCCTGGATCATCGTGCGAAAATTTCTTCACGGATCAAGATTGCGAAACCGGCTCAGACTGATTTATTTTTTGACTGATGTATTTGTTTATTAATTGGTAAATTTTTGGGAGATAAACCGAACATCAAAGCCAGGATTCGAGCCAGGACTTGAGCTAGGACTCGAGCTAGGACACGAGGCAAAACTTCGAGCCAAGACTCGGGCCAGGACTCCAATTAAGAATTTTCTGATCCTACTGTAAGCAAAAATAAATGAGTAAACAAAATAAACAAATAAACACAAGAAAACTTAAAGTAATAAAAAGGACTCCTAACGTGACTCATAACCTCCTAACCCTAACTCTAACCGTCAACTTAACCCTAACCTAACCCTAACTTGAGCTTTCCTTCCATGATTGCCACAAAAACCCTCCTCTTAATGGTCATGGGACTTGCAGGAGGTGAAAATGGTGGGAAAACGAAAACTTGTCGCGTCCTGGCTCGGTATATAGGCATCCTCCACTTTTGGCCCTCGCGGCCAACCACGGACTGACAATACGATATATTCCAACCCAACCAAGGCGCCTTTGGCCATAATGTCCTGTGTCTCGTTTATCCACCTTTTTATAAAAGGTGGTAGAAACTAACCTTTCTGTCATCAGTAAAATTTATCAGTACTCACGTAAAACTGACTGGGGCGAGAAGCAGCCAGTTGCAGTGGAAACTGAAAGGCTATTCCAGCAGTGCAACTCTAACGGTAAAATCGGCGTTGATCATTGTCTAAATAATAACGTGAACAGTGTACTTAACACCGAATGTAATTTGCGTTTTGTCTTCCTCTGAAATCAACAGTCGTTCGGCATGCCGAAAATAAATCTTCGGCGCAAGAAAGACGAGTTTTAACATAATCCTACAACTACAGTACCCTACTCTACTTACAAAAATTAATCTGTGTCCTTTTTAATTTACCCATTTCACATTCTTCCTAACTCACCTCTTGGCATGAATTACGACAAAACAGAAGGCAAGAGGCAGTGCAATCTCTATTGCATTCTTTTAATTCGCTCAATTCACATTCTTCAATGTCCATGTCAATGTCAAATTCTGTGAGATTCGAGGTATCAGCCGACCACGTTTGCTACAAAGACTTTATAAGCTATTCAAGAACTGGCTAGAAGATTCCGGGATTTACGCATATCTATCTAAAAAAGGAAAATCCCTTCATTGCGGCACACGCAAGTGCAACTAACAGTGCAAAGTACACTAGAGATTTAACAGCAAAACTTCTCTGCTAAGTACCGACGTCTTTTAAGACAATTTGTGAGACAAGCAGTGTCCAGGACTCTATAAGTTGCTTTAGAGGCATCTCGCTTTTTCCAGTGAAATAACGTTTTCAAAGCTTTTTTAGCGTATTCCTCGTTATCCTTGTGAATTACAATACCTTCTGCATTCTTAAATTTCAGACGCTGAGCAACAGGTTCCCAATAATTCCCAAGCTCCACAGACAGTTCTTCCAAAACATCATCATCGGGGACACCATCTTTGAATGAGTCTACAGAAAACCACGATGCACCCATATATTTATTTGTTTATTGTGAGACTATGACTCAAAAAGCCCTGGCAACGAGGTTGCAGCTATATCTGTCGTAACCAGTAAGGTCCTTAAATTTCATTTCAACAAATATAACACAAAAACAGTGTAATATTCGCACTGCATACCCGTTTTCTCGTCACTGGGACGTTATCGGGGAAACCGCTCCTGCCTCAACCACGGTATGCTACCTTTTACACCACAAGGAAATAGGTTCCGATCGCCCCATCTGAACACGTTAACGTCTTGCTCTGAGGAGACAAGGGGCCAACAGAGGGATGGGCACCCTGGGCAGTATAACGTGGACTAACATCTCACAAAAGATAAGCTTTTAAAAACCGGTTCGTAACAAATGGGGAGAAAGTCCATAAAATAAGGCAAAAACGGCTTAATAAGCGGAAAATTCTACTGAGAGACCCAACCACCTCCAACCCCCTGTTGACTCCAGGCTCCCAATCAGATCCGGGATTGATCATAAGAGGAGGTCCCCTTGAGGTCAACTGAGAGAAAGTAAAAGACTCAACGGAAAACATAGCCTGAGAGCAGGCTCACTTGTGCGAATTCGGAAAAAAATTATTTTGGCGGCGGAGTCGACATCCAGCTTGGAAAAGTGAGCCTGTACGCGGGCTAGTGATTTTTGAATTGCGCCCCTTCAAGGTGTCAAGATACTATCCAATAGGAGCAAAGCAAAAGTACAAAAACTGACAGAAGTTGACCACAATCATGAACTGAAGCACACACTACCGACGCCGCGGTATGGCCAGTACCTCTCGCAGCCATGGACAGCTGTTCCGTCCTTGTTAAGGCTCATCAGCATGGCATTACCAGCACGGTAATACTTATGATAACAAATCAGCCTGCCTTAACTACTTAGGCGAGTGCAAAAGCACTACTTTAAACGTCAGCTTCATCGTAGACATGTAGTAGCTTGCCGGGAACTGCTTGCGGTTTCTAGCTAACAGCTACCACGTGTGTACGGCGGAGCTCTCAATAAGGCGAGTGAAGGCGCAACAAGAAAGTTGGACGAACGATCAAACTCAACCTACTTTTAAAAGTTGATAATATTCCAAAAATAAAACGTGAACACGCAGCAGAAGCCGCTACCAGACCATGTAAGAGTTACAGAAGCAGAATGAAGAAATTAGGGACTTTAAGCAACGACTACGGAAGGGTCTAGTACGGTGACCGGATTTTTTTTTCCGCCACGGGTCAATGCTTAAAGTATAAGGTACCACGACGGCGACAGCGGTCAAAACGTCGCTTTTTAGTAAAAAGTCAATCCACATTCTTTCAAACTTTTTCGCGATTATTACAAGTCGATTATTTTGTCAAATGTGGGCAAACTCATAAAGGAAAAAAGTTCGTCTTCTTTTGCTTACGTCCTCAAAAAAACGTGAAATTGGGTATTTTCACGTCATGGTCGTAATTATTAGCACAGTAATGACAAATTTGTTGCTATTCTTAAAAAATTTGCATTCTTCTCATATGACAATTGTAAGCTTAGCGTAAGAAAAAGGAGAGTAAACGCCAAACATGTTGCTAGGATACAGTTTCGAACCCTGGCCTAATAGCCGTGTGCAAAAGCCAGTTTGACGAGAAAGAACAAGATTGACTAGTCTTGAAGTTCGGACTGCGGCGACCTCAAAGGGTTGACATGATCTTGGCAGTTCTGCTGGCAGGGTTGCCCTACATATACTGAGTCGTCAATGTCTACACAGAAATCACGAACACTGCATGCATGATTATCAGTGATGGACTTATTAAATCCCTTCCCAAATCGCCAAAATACTTTTCCTTTTCTGATTGGCTTAATTCCCAAGGCTCATTTGTCGTAACCAGCCATGGCTGATCACGTAAAGATTTCTTTAAGTATTTTATTATTGACGTCAATTGTTGGGTCAGTTATGCCCTGGGCAAACCGTTCATCATGTACTGATATTCAAATATTGAAATTACAGTAGTGCCATCGTGCGCGTTTAATGGATCAAAGAGAGGAACGACACTGCTGCCTAATAGACACTTCTCTTTAAATCAATATTGGCTTTAAGAAGTTGCAAACAGTGTTTACGAGCTGACAGTCGTTCTTTCACCTGATTAACGTCATTACTCACTTTGACAATGAAGTCCTAGTATACTAATACCGAACCATGCAATGAGGGAAATGTTACCAAGCAGCAAATACAGGGTATTAAACTGGTATGAAGCGATTTCACTGGCTGCTTAAACTATCAAAAACTTAATACCAGGTAGCTTTTAAAACCTCTCGCTTTACCTGCCAGTGTCTTTGAAAATGAGTGGATTTATACTTAAAATTTTTCCAATCAGTTTCTTCCAATCATTCAATTCAATTCTATGCAATTCCCTCCGTTTATTAAGAAATAAAAAAACGTTGTGTAAAAATGTCAACTTGATTTTTTAATTTGTACGAAAGCATGGATTTTTCGGCTAATTGGGCCTTTCAATTGAAAGTGGTATTAGATGCAGTAAGGTTATACTTGATCGTTTTCCTCAAAACTACCTAAGATTTTGGTCGCGTGTGTAGGCTCTTTCCAAAGGTGAGAACTGAGTAGCCAAACCGGACATCTTGAAAATGAAATAGGTTTCTTTAGTCTCTTTACGGCTATATGATTGATGGGTTGGTCTGGCTGGCCAGTTATGGGTAAATTAAAACTGGACCTAAAAATTTTTACCCGTTACTAACCAGCAAACGTACATTTTATTTCTTAGTTTCGTTACTTTTTCTTTTGTACCATGAGGGCTGATGCTGATGAATCTGTCACAGCTTTCTAGATAATGATGATAATAATGACAATAACCATCAGTCTTTATTCTTCAAAAGATGAAAACTCGTGTGTTTTGTTACAAGTAGGTTAAAAGTATTATTTTGTGAATACATGTAGTACAGCTTTTGCTATGTTTCTGTAATGGAAGGCTAACCCGTATTTAGCAATTACATGGTTGAAAAAGAGCTTTTAAAACGCACAGTATTTCTTAGCTTAACTCGTAAGGTCTTTCGTAAGATGATAACTGCACGGTTTGACGCACTAGGTTCACATTTGAGATTTATATTTTTCTTTCTGTCTGTAATTTTTGAAAACGGCGGAAAGTTTCTTAAATGGCTACCTCATTTTCTTTAATGGCATCTAAAAACATCTTCTTCTGGTTACACTTACGCAGCATGACTAACTATAACAGCAATAATTTTGTGCTAATTCCGTTTGGCCTACACATTCATCACACAAGGCATCATACAAGACTCTGAAGGTTGCTCCTGAACCATACTTCGCTCTCCACTGAAGCAACATCTCTAATGCCTTTTCTCTTAATTCTTCATTCTGTTTGTGAAAAGCCGTTATGTCTGGCTTCTCGAAACCCAAGCAATAAGCTAAATCTTTCCAATATTCTCCTAGCTTCCTGGACAGGAGTTGTAAGTCCTTGTCTTTGGGGACACCATCCTTGATGACTGGAATAAAGGATAACACGTTATTGTATCTATGGATATGTAACAACACCTTCGATTCCAAAGCATGTTCGAAGATTGTGCTGTTTTAGAGACCAGTCCACGCCCACGGCCCTTCCACCTTACTAGCCAAAACCGAGTCAGGTTCTTCATGTGAATCATTTTAGTCAGAAAGTCCCCAACAGTTTATAGGGTTCCGGGATTTAGCTTATATGATGGCCTGGAATAGGGAAGAAGAAGCCTCCTAAAACCTCTTCTTCAGGGTTGCCAGGCCTAATCGTCGAAGCCGTAATGAAAATTTACAACCCTCAAACATCCGATTGACCTGCACCCATCCAAACTTCTTTGGTCCATATAACGTGTACTACCTATTGTTTTCAGGGATAGGGGCATTGTTATGTCACCATCGCTATTGTTTTCCCAGCCACTCACAAACCTTGTTTGGAATAGGTGCAGGTCGGCCCCAAACATCAAGATAGATAAGGCTCCTGGAGAACTACATCATAAAATTCCGAAAATAAGCCCGCGGGGGTAACATTTTTGAAGGATTTTATTCGAAAGAGGTTTACAAGACGGGAAAATCTATGTCCCCGCTCAACAATTTTTCAATGAACATGCGCAGGAACATCCCAATTTCCCCGAAGAAAGCAACTTTGAACCGAGCAAAAAGGAATAAAGTTGATCGTGTAAATATATACAAGTAAATACTCGAGCTATCACCCGGAGCGCTAACTTCAATCAGTTTTTGAGTGGAGAAGGGGACGCTAATCAGTCGAAGGAGGCGATTATTTACTTCAGTAGAATTTCGGTCTCAAGATGACAATTTTCTATGTTTAAAATCCGCATGGAAACTGCACCATTAGACACGAAAACAAGACGTATCTTTCAGCATATGTCCAAATTTGTATGTGTTTGGTGCATATTCTTGGCTTTGAACTTTCTGTTGTAATTATGTTTGGTCAATATACTCGAGCACTACTCCAACAATGGACCGTGTGATGTCCTCAAAGGCGTCATTCTCTGGTGATTGTACATGTTATTCTTTAAGTAAAATGCTTGAGGACAATTTCCAAATATAATATTGATTCAGTGAAAGCGATCAGTAAAACTATTGTAGGTCCAAGGGTGGTATTCTTTAGCAAAATGACCAAGAAATTGAAGCTTAGTTTACAATGATGAATCATTAAAGAAATAATACCATCTGCGCTCCTGGGAGGTGTGGCCTCGGACTGTTTAGCACCCCTGGCTTCACTTGGCGACGATTGACTTCTTTTTGGAGCTTTCCCGTCTTTAGAAATAAAGAGAAAGTAGAATGAAAACTCGAGAAGTCATAACAATGAAAATGGATTTTGTTTGTACACATTTCCAAGCAAAAAAGCAGAAAAAGGTTTGTTTCTTCCAAGTAAATGATTAGTTGGTCACGTGTGTCCAAGTACAACCCTTTTTTTTAAGTACAACTGACCGTGCTTTTAATTCTCCTGCCAATTTCCCACGGAAAATAAGAGAACAAGTGCAAGCTTCCTACATAATCTGATAGCCTGTTCCAGGCGTTCAGGTGGTGGGGAGCGGGCGAAAAATTGACGAGGAAAAATATAGGGCGGGAAAAGGGAGGGTTTTCCGCTTCCGCCCTAGTCTCCCCTCGTGTTTCTTTTTGGGCTCGCCGCGTGCGATTTAACTTGCTCTCCACTATCTAAACGCCTGGAACAGGCTAATAATCTGAAAGCTAAGACGTGGGGTCAAAAAGAGCAGGACAAGAACCAAAGGTTTTAACTTATCTATTTGTGATATAATTAATTTGTTATTCCTAGTTTGTATTGATACCCTTTCAATCACCTGTTGATAGAGAATCTCCTTTTCGCTTCTTAGGGCCGGCCGAAGATGATGTTGAAGGGGAATCTATAAAATAGTAAAATTAAAGCATAAATTTTTGTTTTAGATATGAAGTTAAAAAAAATAACAGAACTTAAGAGCGTGTCTCCGTAAAAACCGACCAGTGATTTTGGATCAAAAAATTAATTTTCCTTATATTCTGGGATTTTAAAGCCTCCACCTTAGTAGTTGCAAAAATGCATTTCGTTTGACCGAAAGTGATAAATATATTTTTTTACGAATTTTTGAATTTCCGGGCGGTCAGCGCCGGCGCCATAGCCGTTCAAAGTGCGAAAATCGCTAATATTGACCGCGCTCTAGAAAACAAACACCTGGCTTAAAAAGACTGATTTTCTTTTCCGTATACAGATACACCACTGTAGATTTCCTAGCCGTATCACAGTTCCGAATTATTTGTTTATTTCCAACGGCAATGATTTTTTCCCCAGCACGTGTTTTCGGCTTTCCATCAAAACACGAAAGTAGCTCAACTTTGAGGGTAATTTTAAAAAGTGTGGCACCTGTCTGAACTTCGCTATCTGTATGAATACAATCTAGGAATGATAATAAAACTCAGCAAGGAATAACATTTTTGTGCTCTCCACGTTTTCAGAATAGGCCGCCGTTTGAATTTCCAGAAATTTCGTAAACCAGATAATTAACGAACATTCGCCTTGTCGATCTGCTTGTCAAAGTCCAACTTCATTTGATGGCTTGATGGGTCTTATCCAAGTTCTTTCACATTTTAAGGTTATTTCTTAATCATCTGAAACTATATTGGCCGTTGATTCCACGTCCTTGGTCCGTTTTAAGAAGTTATCTTGTTTATAAAATGGCAGTATCCGCCAGCGTGACTGGTTCGTGACACCGTCCTGAAAGGTCTTTTGCTAAAATTAGTTGGATGCAATCTTGTTCATTGAGATTACTCTTCAAGACATCGCGGGGAAATTTGTAGAGCAAATAAAACACTTTTCTTTGCAAATAAAACGCGATGAGTCGCTAACAAGGCGATTTAACCCAGTTCAGATTAAAGTTGAAATTTGCGTGACTTTTTGTATTTCATCCCCAGTCCTTCTGGACTGGACACAAATCAAACAAGGGGTAACATGGCTACTGATACAGTGAAGTGTTCTTTCTCGGGCTTCGGAAAATCTAGTTTTGGAGGTTTTCGAGGTTCGGATACAGTATGTAGGTTGCGAGAATGCCAGAAAGATATAACGATCCACTTGAAGACATGCCATCTTTCAAAACTATCTGGAATGATGGAGTACGAACTGATACTAGTCAGGGCGGGGCTATTCGATGTGCCAAAACACCGGCAAGAAGAAATGTTCGTGTGTCCAAAACACAGACATAATTTGGGTCGCAACTGGCGTCCTTTGAGGACATGTCGATATCCTCTTCATTCAGGAGCAAGGAAAAAGCTAAAAAATAATCATGTTATCAACTTGGAGATGTCCAAGAATATTCACGCAATTTTTGGAATCACAATTCCCATTGGGTCAGGTAAGCATTCTACTACACAATATTTTACGTTTTCCCTTTTTTGAGGAGCAACGATTGACACAGTTGGTTATTGCGTAGCCCTTGGAGTCTTCTGTGTGAGAGGTCTTGAGATTGATGTCCATGGCCAGGTGTGAGAAATTCTTTCCGTGTAGCTTCAAGTCGGCTAGCCTGCGTCGCAGACGCTCTAAACCTTCTATACAAAGGGTTTAGACGAGTGCGTGGGCCGGCTGCAACGCAGGCTACAAGTAGCTTAAATACCCGTAAAACGGAGTACTGATGAAGAGGGCGTTTAAAAAGGTTTGTCTTTCAGATAATGATGAAATGATCATTTCGAAGTACCGACGTATGTGAGGCGCCTTTACTTTTTAACTTTCAATAGAATAAAAGAACTCTTAAAACCAAGGTAAATGTCATGGTCAAGTATTCCGAATTGTGTAACAAACTTTAAATCTAATTATAAATAAAGACTAAAAGAGAAGGTCGAGGGAATAACCATTCAACGTTGTTGTAAAACCTTGAAAGGGAATCGTTCCATAAGGTGTTTATTTTTCCGGCTATTTATATCATAACCAGTTACATTTTTTGGCAACAGTGCCACGATGTAAGTGTAGAAATCTTGGATTGAGTAAATAACAAGTATGAAATGAACATTCTTGTTTTACATTGTTCGGTCAAGCGCGTTAGTATAATTAGGACAAGTATATTTGTTACAACACAGACGTTCAAAAATACACAAGTATTCCTGGATTTTTGCGAGATTTAAAAGGTGCTTAGAATGTCTTTACAGGACTGTCTATTTTTTACGTTGATTCATAGCGTTCTATTTTTCAAAGTAAGAGATAATTTCGGTAAAGTAGCCTACATGCACGTGACCCACGAAATTATGCGAAACACTTGGCAATGTTCCCCTTCTTTAAAAACCCTATTTTGTGAGTATCGGGGATTTTGTATTTGAAACGTTTTTTAACCCTGCTATATGCTACATCCTGAAAACTATTTTTCCGACACCTCAAGACCTAACCGCGAGATTAAAAACTGTTGTGAGTTTATTTTGCCAGTTGTCAATTATCAATTCAGTGTTGGTTCTAAAAATAAGTTTTACGCTACGAATCGACTTTAACTAAAAGTTAAATTCATCATTGTGATACTTTTTAATGCACAGCAATTTGCACTACTTGTGTCAAGAAGCAAAGACAAAAATATGAGGAAAATAAACGTTGGCTGGGGGAAAACACTGAGAGTGAGAAATTAGGGGAATATGAAGAGACAAGGTGTGTTTAAGGTGACTCGACCCAGTTTTTTTGTGGGAGGGGGGGTACCATCCTACTTTGAAGCTCTCTGGTATCCCCACCTTTACTTTTATCGAAGTCTAACACATAGAATGTATAACGTATAGATCAATCTACAATATAACATAAAATTTTTGGCGATCGGAGTAAATGTCATGTGGTTATAATGCCACGCCCCTTTGAGGTCTGAGTCAAAAATCTGCTGTTGCCGGTATTTTTTCGTGAAAATTTCTCGGCTACACATAGTGCGCATTAGTGCCTTGCCCAAACAAAATCGCAAAGACCCAATTCGAGAAATTCAGCGGTTTCCAAATTTAGGTCATAATTTATGCGAAAATGATAAGCAAACTTTACACGATTATATCTAATAAACTATGAGATTCATCCCTTTATTTTGGGCATCGTTATAACAGATGGGTCCTTGCAAGTCAGCAAAGAGCTTTAGGGCCTTGTAAATGCGCGCGATTTCGAGCAAAGCAAACATATAGAAATTATAGTTTTCGCTATTTGTTGACGTTTGTCAGCGTTTAAGAGCCTTCTCACGAAAACAGCATTTTCTTAAAAATTCGTAGTTTTTTTTTCTTCAAATTTTTTCAGAGCCACAATTGATTAACTAACTACCCGGACTCTGACTTTCATGGTTATTGAAATTTGAAAAACTGTGACATTATCTTCTCTAAGCCCAGACTTGAGTAAACAAGATCAGAAAGGACTGGGCAACGAAATTTACATCAGTGGATGTGGCTGTGAAAAAATCTACACCATTTATGTTGGCGTCCGAATCATCAACTGACGTAGAAACCCTGCAGATGGGATGGGCACTAAGCAAGGCCCACGCAGGTTCCATCCGGTTTTCTCGTGAGGTTAAAAAATATCTTACAGCCAAGTTTGAAATTGGTGAGCGAACTGGCCGCAAGGCGGACCCTGTTCAGGTTGAAAATGATATGAGAACAGCACGGAATGTGAATGCCAGGGTCCAGTTCACTGAATTTCCGCGCAGCGTGAGGTCCAGGGAAGGACGTGGAAACTGTAGTAGCGTGGCCATGGTTTCTCAATTCTCTTAGCTGAAATGTGTTGAACCATTTTTGTCAGTGCGTTTATGTTAAGCTGAAGAAGAAAATGTATCGAAGTATGGCGATTCAATGTTAATTACATCGAACTTTACAGAAAATGTTACGAAACAACCGTGTCACGCTCGCAACTGATGACGCCCTCTATTACTTTTATACAAACTAGATAAAAGATGCCGTTGAAGGACAGGTTTTAAACAAAAAATTCGATGTTTTTAGAGTTAAAGCGGCTACTTCAGGAGCAAAAATATCCTCTACAAAAACCAAGAGGGACATTACAACCTAAGAAGTTAATAAACAAGTGAACGAGCTAGTATTTGTTCAGGTCATCACCCAATGCAGGAGAACTGGGGATGAAATACAAAGTCACGCATTTTTCAAGTTCGTCAGAAGACTTGGTTAAAACGCTTTGTCAGCGACTCATCGCGTCGTATTTGCAAAGGAACGTGTTTTATTTGCCCTACAAATTTCACTGCGATGTCTTGAAGAGTATAATCTCAATGAACAAGATTGCACCCAACTAATTTTAGCAAAAGACCTTTCAGGACGGTGTCACGAACCAGTCACGCTCGCGGATGGCTGCCATTTTATAAACCAGATAACTTCTTTAAACGGACAAAGGACATGGAATCAACGGCCAATATAGTTTCAGATGATTGAAAAATAACCTTAAAATGTGAAAGAACTTGGATAAGATATATCACGCCATCAAATGAAGTTGGACCTTGACAAGCAGATCGACAAGGCGAGTGTTCGTTAATTATCAAGTTTACGAAATTTCTGGAAATTCAAACGGCAGTCTCTTCTGAAAACGTGGAGAGCACAAAAATGTTATTCCTTTTTGTGTTTTACTATCATTCCTAGATTGTATTCATACAGATAGCGAAGTTCAGACAGGAGCCACACTTTTTAAAATTACCCTCAAAGTTGAGCTACTTTCGTGTTTTGATGGAAAGCCGAAAACACGTGCTGGGGAAAAAATCATTGCCGTTGAAATAAACAAATAATTCGGAACTGTGATATGGCTAGGAAATCTACAGTGGTGTATCTGTATATGAAAAAGAAAATCAGGCTTTTTGAGCGAGTTGTTCGTTTTCTAGAGCGCGGTCAATATTAGCGATTTTTGCAGTTTGAAAGGCTATGACGCCAGCGCTAATCGTCCGGAAATTCAAAAATTCGTAAAAAAATATATTTATCACTTTCGGTCAAACGAAATGTATTTTTGTAACTACTAAGGTGAAGGCTTTAATATCCCAGAATATAAGGGAAATTAATTTTTTGATCCGAAATCACTGGTCGGTTTTTACGGAGACACGCTCTTAATAGAGATTAGGTCTAATTCTGAAATAACAAATTTTTGTATGGTAGTGATTAGACTGTTTACAATAGTGCCTGCGAGAGTATCTACAATGGTCCCAAGTAGGACCGTAAGGCCGGTGACAGTGATTGACGTTTCGTTTATAATAATTTTATAGTAATGCTTCCTTTAAACGTCCTAGTTTGCTTTCTAGCTTTTCAGACCTTAGAACTTCCTAACAATCGATATACCCTTGATATGCTTATACATGCGATAATTTCAGCACGCTCAGTCAGGGGCGTAGCCAGGAGTTTTCAAAGGGGGGATCACAGCAGGGACACCATCCAGGGATCGCCGACTATATATGGTTTATACCGCTGCTCTCTCTCGTGTATCAGCGGGCTCAGTCGTATTATCGCGGCATGAAGGCCCATATTTACTAAAGACAAGAGCCGTCGACGAAAATACTTTACAAAAAAACAAATTTAAAAAAAGTGGGCTTTTCAAAAATGGCTTTTACGGCCAAGATATTGTCATGGCCTTTTCGCCACCTGAATATTTTAGGTTGTTTGCTCAAGAGAAGGCCTACCAAGGGGGGGTCACGGGCACCCCAGAACCCCCCTAGCTACGCCCCTGTCATCGGCTTAGAGCACGTCAATTAGTCCCAAACAGTTGTTTTTACTGTAAAATGTAGAAAATGAAAGAAAGTAGTATGATTGAAGTGTTGCGGAACATCTTTTTAAAACCTTGTTTTCTGTTTGTTTGTATTTTAGCCGGCTTCGCGTTTGGTTCCGAATATTAGATGAACATACCCCGTTTAAAGCCTTCTTTTTAAAACCAACACGACAACCAAGTTTTCTTTAGAACCTCTCCTTTCATTTACAGCCAGAAAAACGTTTAAAAGCTTGGGCATTTTCATCTTATGGGTCACCGTATGACTGAAACGTAAAATAATTATGCCCGCCATTAAAGGAGACAAAA